GGCTTTTTTTTTTTATCGCACTTACAGATTCCTTCTCTTTAACGCTCAATATGTATAGGCCTAATCAAGCAGGTAATAATGTAAGTCATATAAACAAAATCTGTTAAAAAAACACCATTTACTTTTAGTCGCAGGCCTTTATCAAATTATAGTTTGAGAACAACATTTATAAGATAGGGTTTACATCAATAGGAAAGTTGAATTAAAAGTGTAGAGGCAGCAAAACCCTACTTGGGCGACGACTATGTATATCCATGGATGGTATATCATATCACAGCTTGTTTTCTTCCAGTAATATTAACGTTTTTTACTTTACGTTGCGAAAATACGGTACGACTTTGAAACGGCGGCACACAATGATGGTAGGCTCTACTAAAGTATAGATACATACTACTGTATCAACAAGATACCGGTACAGTTTGAATTACATGTTTAACTAATGAAAACATTAATAACGTTTTTATCATTTACCCTTCCCTTCATCATCTCATGATTATGTAGTCAATAGTCTTAACAATTCTTATTCCAGTAAATTCAACTAAAACTAAGAATAATGTGCGGATACTTCTTCCTGTTGCTGTGTCTGCTGTGGTAATTACTATTTGTGTTATCAGTTTCGCTGTGTTCCAGTTAGACAGAAAATGTAAGTACAATTGATTGGACTAGCACTAGAGTAATCCGTTATCTGTCTATTATTTAGCAACAAATCAATAACAATAATAATAGTAATAATAACTAAACTTACTATGTCTGTTTGTAAAACAGCATAACAAGAATTAATGTAAAAAAAAAGACCTCATTTAAAAAGTCTAGCTTAAAAAGTCAATAAAATTTATGAGGAAAATTAATTAATAAAAACATGAAAACCAACTGGACGTTGGGAGACTCGAACTATGACTGCTATTAATATTTAAAATATGTAGAATGACGTCATATTTTGGTATGCACATTTCTGCTTAGCTCTAAATTTGCTTGGACAAGGTTTGAAGTAGATTTAAGCACGGAAAGTGACCAAAGTGTTCGTCAGAAAACCTCTGCACATTAACATAGGAAAACAGATAGAAGAAAATTAAATTAGAACAAAACTCAGGAAAAGCCAATAAAGATTTATATCAAGTAAAAAACTAAGGCGACGTTTGTTAAACTTTCTTTCAGCCACTACTCTGGCCTTCATCATAGCGAAATTGATGAAGGCCACAGGTGTGGCAGAAATATATATTAATTTCCTAATTATATTTTACAGACGCTTCGTCTAAAAAAAATAAATTGCCATTTGAGCTATTTGTTGAAAAGGAGTTTTTCTGCAACGAAGGAGAATCAGCAGATATGGTGTTAAGGTACGAACCAAAGAATGCAAAAACAGCAAGCATCTCATGGTTTAAGATAAATAAGGAGCAGGATAGGACTGACCACATCCTCACGTTCAATACAGGTATGTATGCGGTATATCACAAATATGCTTATTAGGGTGATATTATATTGACCACAGTTCACAACCATACATCATACTAACATTTAAAAGATACATGTATTTTAAAAATGTAATAATTAATAACGAAGTACAGAAGAGAGTGAGAAAAGTACTTCCTTTTGCTTTAGATATGAGGGCGTCGTATGTCTGTCGGTAGCACAGTGTGGTATAATGATCTTAGTGATCCATCCATTATACTTTCATTGATTTATATGTTATTTTAAGCAATCATTTATCTATAAAATTGTTAAAATAATCATTGATTAACTTTTATCTTGTTACATTAAAGATTTTAAACAAAGGCGAAAGTCACCTACAAGGTAAGCCTACTTTGAATACAATTTCAATGAATTACACAGCCAACACACACCTACATCCCACTGACACTATAAACAAAATATGACTAACTAGATGGCACTCAGAGAGTGCATACCTCCCCCCACATCATAATTCTCCTCAATATAAATTTCCCCCGCATATTGTCACCATAAAAAAAATAATGGGAAAAAAGCAACAAGCAGATTTGAGCTCGGGGCTGGTTGTGTGGAAAACTTCGTGGGCGGAGGTAATAATAAGATGACTTAAATGTTATTGTTACAGACTTTACAAAACACTAGAATTAAACATTTACTGACTTTTTCATCAGATAAGGTAGGATATTTATATTGTCATCTTTTTATTTAGAAAACGTCTGCCTTCTCTGCGACCAATGAATATGCAGATTGCGGTTGATACTAATATTTATTCAGGAACGTCCCTTAAATCTGAGCAAGTTAACAACAAACCGGGACCCTCATACTTTGTTCTCGATGAAAAGTACGATATCAAGAAAAACGTATGTAACTGTATGATTTCTTGCATAAATATGAATTTGGTTGGTTGACGATAAAAATATTATTTGACACAAAGCTCACTAATTTTGTTTGCAAAGGGCTACACCTCGTAAAATGCTATTATGTAATATATATATATATATATATATAATTATATTATTATATATTATTATTTTTTTATTATTATATCTTATTCTGAGGCAGATACATGAACTTTG